CGGTGTTGAAGGGCTGTATGGTGCATGCACACGTAAACGCAATTCTGCACCCACAAACACCACGATTTATTGTTTTATGATGATGATACCTCAAGGCCTGAGCAAGGATGACACCCCAGGATTCACACTACGGGCATCCGTCTTCAGGCCCGTCGAGCCAAGTGTCACGGACACGAGGCCGTCTGGCTGCTCCGCTCGTTTGCCTGCTCTCCCTCAGCCCCGTCCCAAACCCAGAGCTGTGCAGGCCACTCGCCGCAGCGACAGCCATCGGCACGATGGAGGAGCGTGCCTGCTCGCCGTGAGTCGCGTAGCACGGCAGCACGCTCCAACACAGGCCACGCGTCCGCAGTGACCAGAGGTCAGTGATGCCCCAGGGAGGATGCACGGGTTGAACACCAGCAGCAGGCACCGGCTGACAAAGCTTTACCTGCGCTGCTTCACTGACTGCAACCTAAACACAGGACGTGAATTTCTAGAGTTGGGAGGAGTTTGTGGCTGGAATCAAAGCTCTGGAAAAGGAAACTAGATGAAATTTCTCACTCCACCATGGACAGGAAAATAAATGTGTTATACCGAATGGATGCTGTGACGCAACCCACAGCACCAGCGGCACGCTGACAAAGCGAGCAGTGACAGGCCATGGCGAGAGAGAGCGGCTCAGGAAGGATGGAAGTGCTTTGCATGCACAGCTGTCTGCATTGCGACCGCTGTACAGCCCGCTGCTAATTAAACGGCATTCTTGGCTGATCTGCCAAACCAGTATCTTCACTGCATCATCTGCTTTATCTTAAGCTGAAGCAGCAGGGAGGGCCACGTTCCTCACTTCCCCGGGAAGGAGACGGCCGAGTGAAAAGCTCAGGACTGCTGTACCGCGACTTGCAGCTCACGGTTACGCTGCGCACTCACATGGGGGGGCTGGCCAAAGCAGGGCCCCTCGCAGCGGCTGGACAACGGCAGTGGCACCAGCGAGCACGCCAGGGTCCTGAAGGCACGACAAGGAACTACTTTCGTCAGCAAAGGGATCCTGCCAGGCCAGCTGAGCACCCCAGCAGCCCCCAGACCCCCATCCCCGTACGTGCTGGGAGCGGAACCCACCGCACTTCCCCAGGCTTAACACCCTGCCCTCGGCAAATGCCAATGTCATCAGCCGCAACACCCCGCAGCCATCCCAGTGCCAAGAGGGTGACGTTATGTTTCTCTGCAATTTGACCTGCGCACAAAGCGTCGGCTGGCGGAGCCCCGCAGCCCCAGCAGGTCGAGCAGTGCCCTCAGGCGGCAAAGGGACGGCCCGGGGCGAGACCGCCCGCGGCACAGACCCAGCGAGCGCCAGCACAGCTGCTCGGCTGAGAAGCCACAGCTCTTACCCAATTTATTATCTGGAGACAGGCATCCCACCGCTTTCCAGGAGCGTTACAGAGGATCGGTGTCACGGCCAACAAAAGATGTCCCCAGCCCTGCCAGCAGTGCTGCTGCCACAGAGCGTGAAGCTTCAAGACTCTGATTTCAACGTGCCCTAGCAGAGGTATCAGAGGAGCACGTTCCAGCACGCTTGAGGAACTGCCCGTGTCAGAACTCGGGTGTCCCTGCACCTCCATAATTACATTTTCAAGCCAAATCTGCTCCTTCCCCTCCAATGTAGAGGTGGGACGAAAGCAAATGCATTGCTCAGAGGCACGGGGTGCAAAGTGTTTTTAAGCCCTGATTTGACATCTTTTATTTATTTGTAAGGACAGTACATAAACACCTTTCTCACAGACCATCAGCCTGAGTGACCTTAAGTTACTCTCACTTATGGGAGCGCTCCTCAGGTCAGCAAGTCTCAGCATCTCTTTCCGCACACAGACACTCAAGGCAGGCAAAAGAAAGGATGGCTCCCGTAGGTGAAGATGTCTCCCTTCTACCTTCATGGCTTGTTCAGCTCTGCCTCTTCTTCAGACATCGAGTCCATTTCCACTTGAAAATGAAACAGTCCAAGCATTTCCTACTGAGGCCAAGCACCCAACCCACTCAGCTTCCAAAAAGCACCAGTAAAGCTTCCTCAATCCATCATCCTCTTTGCAGTCATCTCAGAACACACCAGACCCTCGCAGAAGCTGGTCAACATCAGTCCCTCCCGTTCTCTGTCAGGAGCCTGGTGGGCAGCACAGCTCTCGGTGGTTGTCCGCAAACAGAGAGATCTTAAGAAGTGTATCTGAGTTAGAAGGAAAAAAAAGCACCCCGTTAGCTTAACAGATTTTATCTGTATTCTGCACCCACAAATAGTTCACTTGCTTCCAAAGGCAATAAAGAAAAATGTAAGTAAAACCAACTTGGCAGACCAAGTGAGAAGGCCCACCAAGCCCCCGTGACACTGCCAGGAAGGAGGCTGCTCCCAGCCTCGCCCAGGGTGCGTTGGAGAGCATTCAGCGCTGAGGCTGCGCACGAGATCTCAGAGCAGGCTGCAAAGATCCGCTGCCAGCCAGACAAGTTGTCCCGCTGCTATCGAGACCAACGCAGCAAGCAACGCCCGGCCTACGCGGGAGACGGGGCTGAGACCCCAGCGCGGAGCTCAGCGAAAGGCCCTTTGGGTCTGCTGCAAGCGGGGCTACCTTCGACGACGTCTTCCTTGTAGCGCTCCAGAAGCCTCTCCCAGGAGCGCGGCAGGGGCT